GGTATCGCGGCTGGTTCTGCAATCCCCTCGGAACTCATGCGCAAGTTGCACAAGAACCTAAACTTGACTGAGTTAACCATCTGTTACGGCATGACCGAGACCTCTCCTGTATCAGCTATGACTACTACGGACGACCCTATCGAAAAGCGCATCGACAGCGTCGGCCGTCTCCTCCCACACGTTCGCGCTAAAGTCGTCAATCCGTCAGACTGGTCGCGCACTCTTGACGTGGGCCAACGCGGCGAACTCGCAGTGTCAGGCTACCTGCTCATGAAAGGATATTGGGGTGATACAGCACGCACAGAGGAAGTTCTACAACCGGATGAGGACGGGATGCTATGGATGCATACTGGGGACGAGGCTTCTATGGACGAAGAAGGGTACATCAAGATTACTGGCAGGATAAAAGATCTGATTATCAAGGGAGGCGAGAACATCCACCCACTGGAGGTCGAGAATTGTCTCTTCGCTCATCCTGCTATCAGCGAGGTTAGTGTTGTGGGTCTGCCAGATGAGCGATACGGCGAGGTTGTCGCGGCTTTCATCGTTACGCATGCTGGCGACGAAGGCAAAGCGACCGCGGATGAAGTACGAAGCTGGGTCAGAGAGAAGCTCAGTCACCATTTAGGCAAGTCCATGCGCCTCAGGATCTCGAAGCCTAAGCTAAAGGCCCACCTAGAAACGATGCTGACTGTATGAACTAGTGCCCAAGTACGTCTTTTGGGTCGACAACTACCCTAAGACTGCGAGTGGAAAGATCCAGAAATTCAAGCTAAAAGAGCGAGGCATTGCGCTCTTGCAGGAGGGTAAAGGATTAATCTAACGCTCCATGCGTCTTGCGCCCCGCAATAAAGAACATACTTCTCTTGACTGTCATGGGTATCGTGGATCTGATGACTAATTTGCAACAGAGACTTTCTCGACGAGTTTGCAGGTCCTACAACATCATCATTAGCGGCAATGTCTATTACTAACAGGAATCTTTACAAATCTATTTCTAGCTAGAAACATGCGATCGACAAGGATCCTGATGTATAGTACTTTATACGACGGAGATGTGTGGGTCGGTTGAACACACTGCATTCGGGCGCGTAAGCCTCGCAGCTTTGTACCATCCTGGATGCCTAACGCGGGCAAGGGCGCATGCACGCAGAATTTGTTACCCGCGTTTTGGATCATTCTTGGACGAAGAGGCGAAGCTTAGGATAAGGTTCAGAAGCTTGCAGGCCGACTTGCGCGGAGTGCGTGGATTATTCGCTTCAGCCCTCTCAATGCATGAAGCGCGCCCTCTAACGCATTCGCACGCAAAACCTTCAATTTCTAACTGCTTCTTTCTTACGTCCCGAATATCTGGTTTCTAATATTTATACGCTAGTTATATGTCACATTGTCGCCCTTGGCACCCCCCTCTTTCTATATAAGAGTGCGTAGGTTAGCGAACATTCGAACCTCAACATCTCTGAGCGTAGACACGTATGAATACACCTCTTGCGAATCAGCAACTACTTCCTCATCGACATCAAAACCAAGTCCTCTACCTCCTACTTGAAGAGACAGTCCCAGTAGGCTCTCGTCTTCACACACGCGAACATGTCCAAACCAGCAACAAACACCAAGACGCCTACTCCCTCCAACCCGTCCTCTCTAAAGCCCCGCTATGAGATCCGTAAACTGGAATCCGAACATCTGCTCTGGGCGACCGCCATCCTAGCCCACAGCCACGGTTTCCACTCCGCCATCTGGCAGCACATCTGGCCCGACAAAGCACTCGGCCGCTGGACACTAGAAAGTGCCAGAAAACTCGAGTACCTCGTCGCCCACCAAATCGACTCTGGTCTATCCTACGGCGTCTTCGACACAGAATACCAGTTCAAAACCCCCGAGGCGAAAGAAACAGGCGGGAAGCTATTCTGGGATGTCAATGAACCGGAGGAGAATAGCGTGGAGCAAACCCAAGGACGGAAAGCAGAAGGCTTGAGACTACTCCGGCAGATGGATTTCCCGTTGGTCAGTATAGCGTTATCATACGATAACTTCGTCCCTCTCGATCCCGCGAAGATGGGCCCGGTAGACGAAGCCATACCAGAATTCGATCCGCTCTTCGGCGCTCTGAGGAAGCTCGACCCGAGGGATCCAGCGGAGTGGAAGGCTACCTCACCAGGCCAGGTGCTGATGCGCAACGCGACGTCTACACGCCACGGCTATGAGGGCGAGGGCGTTGCGTCGGGCGCGGCGCGTTGGCTGCGACGCGAGGCCAAATTAATGGGGTTTAGAGGTATTCAGATTGAGTGTATTGCGGATGCCGTGACGTATCTTTGGAGTGATGGCGTGGAGGAGCCGTTCAAGGGGAGGATGGTTAGTGAATTCGATACGCAGACTTGGGAGGATGAGGAGGGGAATAGGCCGTTTGGATTGGCGAGGCAGAGGTGTACTAAGTGTTGGGTTGATCTGTAGGCTGGTGGTGAATGAGAGGATGAGAAGGGAGTGAATTTGGATTTGAACGCCCTAATGGTCGCTCATTTGATTATGCTGCGTGGAAGCGTACTCTACTGGTACTGAGTGATGAGACCTCTGACGTCAGTGCCCAGGTGGTGTACATCAGCCGACGGGCACAGTCAAGAACTGCAACACTTTCTGAATCACAATCAAGCTCTACTCTCATGCTTCACATGACCTTGGAATCAATCGAAAGATCGTAGTATTTCCGATACCCAACAGCATCGACGAAATGACCGATTTTCGCCCGCGTGCTGAAGCCGAGCTTCTCGCTACAGGAACATGCTATCTCTCAAACGATCCCGTCTTCTTCATAGTCCTCATCATCGCAGAGTACAATTTCAAAGAGGGAGTTATATACCTCCAAGATGGTCTCGCAGGCTCGAGGCTTTACCAGCCCATGAACTCCAGCCAATTTATCCAGTGTCTTGACAACGAGACGGGTGAGGAAGTTGAAGTCGTGCGCCAAGGCACAGAGCCAGTTCTCTTTCGCGAAGACCAAAGCGAAGTCATTTTGACGACAGGGAGGCCCAGTAAATCCTGCGAAATGCCGTTCGTCACTACTGCTCTCCTACCAGATAAGAAGTACAGACTGTGCTTCAAACCAACAACCCCGATTTCGCATTGGCCAGTCAGCGCGGTGAATACTTCGACTTCTCTTTCAAGAAGCCCGGGCGGTTTGATATCTGCGTCTGAACTTCCTACACCAGCCACACCGACTATACCCTGGCAGGCCGCCAACGGCAACGACACAATCATCTTTGAGACCCGAATTTCGCGACCAAAGACACCAAAAGTCACCGTGTCTCTATCAGCACCATCGACATACTCTCTCTCCTCTCCCACGAAGAAACTCGCTTTCATGCTCACGTTCTCGACGGACGCCGCGTATCCCTTCACAGTCCACGCAGATCGCGCATGGGTCAAGTCTCTTCAATCCGACTTGGCAATCCTCGACGCAACTTCGCGCTGCAAGCTCGAACCCTATCTAGATGTATATCGAGAGCATTACGAAAATGAAAGACACGAGTTCATTCGATTCGAAGGAACGTATACGGAGCACCGAGAGTTGGATTTCGGAGGCGGGAATTTAAGTAGATTGGAGCTAGAGGTTGGGAAAGAGTATATACTCTGCCATCTCGGCGGATCGTGGTGGTGGACGGAGGATACGGTCGATGAGGTAATGGACTACCTTGCTTCTTGGAGTAGTGCAGGGTTGGAGGTGGGCACGAAAATCGAGTTTGAGGGCGAAGGGGAAGTGAAGTTTACGGTGGTGGAGTAACGATTCTCTGAGGGTATACGAGCAGTCGGTTGATGTGCATCTTGAGTGTTACAGCTAAGATAGTTTTGGAATGATACGACTATGTGAAGCCGTTGCGCAGTCTTGGAACAAGACTAAGGGGCATGTAGCCGTCAATACACTGGTACCGTCCATTCCTCGAGTAGTACATCGACGATGTCTCTGTCCACTGGACTCGAGGCCGTTTTGGTCTCCCTCATCTCCTCATTCTCCTCTAGCTTCAACACTAGGTCAGCAGCATCCTTAGTACAGGGCTCATCCTCATCTTTCACCAAACGCCGTCTTTTCCTTGACGAACGCTGGCCAGCGTCCTGCTCCGCTCCATCATCCGGCAACCGTGATAGGTATGGGTCTATCATGGACGCGTTCGAAGGCGTGCGGGCTTGGTGGGACGGGTTGCTAAGCACAGAGAGGTCGGGCCGCGCAGGAAGCCCCCCATATCCACTCGAAGAGGAAAACCTGAGATTGTACGGGTACCATGGAGCCGGCGTCATAGCTTCCATTGCTACCGACATGGAACCAGCCCCTGAGTATCCACGTTGGTACTGAGTACTCGAAGGTCTGTTACCGACTCTTTTCTCTTCGCGGGAATTGAGGGTTTCGCTTCCAGATGAGTCCTCCGCATCGGGCTCTACGTATCCTGATGATGAAATGGATGGGACAGGAGCGCCTAGCTGTGGAGCAGTGTTCTCAGGTCCAGTAGGAAAGCCTTGAGTATGCTCTGCAATGTTGATTCCACGACAGGTTCTCTCTGGCAGCTCTTTTTGCTCGGTGTTCCGCTTTATACAGCTGGCACACGGAGAGTTACGATCGCACTGTGTCTGATTAGTATAGAACGTAAAGATAAAAGTGAATGTACGGTACCGGGACTTTGAGGCTTTGGCAGTTCCGACAAGCTCCTATCAATTTCATTACAGCAGCATTGCGCCTTTGCTCCGCCGTCAACGCTCTTTTTCGGCCACGCAAAGATATACCAGCTTCTTCCTTCCCTGTATTCAATGTGTACGGCGGATCATGAGTAAATGGAGATGCGTCCGTATCTAAATGTGCCCTCTTTCTAGACTGAGACAGACTAGTTCCAAGTTGTCCACGATCCGTCGTCAATTGGCTATCCCCATCTTGTTTCTGTTCAGGAGGTGGATTGCTTCTCCTTTCCCGACAGTTCAAGAACATCAACTGATACATATAGTCTTGCAGCGCAGTGTTAGCGCTCCACGGTTGTGGTAAGAGAGTTGAATCTGCGGTCAGCATAGGAGACTGGGTATGCAGCGAGCTTTCGACACCGCTTTGTGATGACTGAGATATCTCAGGAACCGTAGGTCTGCTGTAAATAGGCATAGAAGGACTAGAAGTAGAGACTGGTGGTAGCATGGGCCTGTTGAGCATGGGCATAGCAGGACTCGGCAGGCTTTGAATCATTCCTGACATTGGCTGCATTGCAGCCTGCGCTTGAGCTTGTTGGTGCTGCGCTTGAGCCTGTTGTTGAGCCATAGATTGCCTCTGAATCCACGGCCACGTCTGCGACGATGTTTCAGAAGTCTGCTGAGCCAGTGCTGACTGTCCTTGACCAAGACTAGGTCGTTGTTGCTGACCAGACAGACCCAACGGAAAGTCTGAGGCTGCGCTTCCACTCGGCACTGGAGGATGATGGGGCGTTTGCGCATCAAATAATGGAATCGTTTCGACAGATTCATGGGACACAAGAGGCGGGTGCTGTGAGCTCTGCGTCGACGACATGGCATTGAGATTGGTCGTTTGCTGAGGCACTGAACGCTGCCCTTGGCTGAAATAGAAATCATCCAAAGGAAACTGCGTGCTCTCATCCGGAACGTGAAGAAAGCTATCGAAGTCGAAGTTCTCCAGACTGCCCGAGTTGTCGTTCACATCGAAATCGATGAATGGAGAAACCTTTCCAAAGTCGGTAGCTGACGGAAGCCTGATACCGGATTCAAATCTGCGGCAAAAGCGTTGATACATCTTGTGCACGTGTCGCTTTCGATGTTTCTTCTTGTCGATATCGAAGCTCTTCTGTAGCATTGTGATGCGCTTTAAAAGGTTCTTCACATGGTCCGCTGCTTTTGCCAGCTCTTCGGTCGAGATCTGCTCTTCATTGTCATCGCCTGACATCGTTGCGTCGCTGTCAGAAGTGTCCGAATTATTTGGGGTCGAGAGTTCGATGGTAATGGTGTTTGGCTGAAGCTCTGGGACTTTCTCTAGCGGAGGCAGCTCCACAACCGGAGCGTTGGCCATAAGCTCCAAAGTTGGAACACGAGAGGCGACGCTTGATCCTCGAAGCGTTTCTTCGTCGTTGATTGCGATATGGCAGAATCTATTTTCGAGAGCTTGCAGGCTTTTGAGTGAATCCTGCTGTCGCTGGTGCAGTTCGCGGATCTTCTCACGCTCTTCATCCAAGACACCTTTTTCCATCCTTCTGTGGCTATTGTCAGCTGCATTTTATGCATGGTAGTGTATCAACTCGGCTCACCCTCGCGCCTGACCCTGGGCTAATTGTAAGACATGCAACAAAAGCACAAGGCTATTCTTCAAACTCTCAAGTCTCTTTCGGTTCAATTCGACCCGCTGTTCCTTCATCGGCCAGGCCAGCTTACCCATCATGCTCAAACTTTTCTTTCCATCCTTTACGGTCCTTCTCCTCTTCTCTACTATCTCTGATACTTCGTCGAAGACGCTTTGGCACTTTTTGATAATGCTGTTAGCGTCCTGGATAGCCTTCTTCGACACGATGGATCCGGCCTCCTCGGACTCAAACACTCTGCCTACGCTTTCGAGCGCATTCGATGTAAGCTCTACATCGTCGGCAATGTCCTTGATGTCTTGGTCTGCCCGCGCGGCTGAGTTCGTGAAATTGTACAACGCGACGCTGAGCTTGGCGCCAGCCCCCGCGATCTGGATGATGCTAGCTGCGAGGCCTATGACTTCGGCCATCGTAGGATACTTGCTGCGTGCGCATTACTTGTCCGTTCGAAAGTGTCGCATTGCAACGGTGCTAGGATTGAGCGCGAAGATAAGGGCGGATTGAGTGGGAAAGCAGCCTTCTTGCGAAGGCTGAGTGCCTGCATGACCCGCTGCGGCTGAGGCGCAGCCGCATGCTGTGAACACCTTGCCATGGGAATTAGAGCAAATGAGGATGCCGTCGCACATGCGACGCTGTACAGCGCTGTGAGTAATGCAGGCAAAGATATGCGACAATTGTTTCGCGTACAGACATGATAGGTGTCCTACGTAGTGCTTGGGTCCAGTGCAGGTGCGTGTGGCCCTCAGGTGTGCCTGCCTGTTTCGATTCCTCAGTTCCGCGCCTCCGCATCGAATCACTATCTCACACCGGTCGACTGAAGAAAAAGACGAGCTCCTCTTCATTTCCACAAATTATACCTTGATAATGACACGTGCACCAAAGAATGAATGGGCAAGCAGCTCTCTTCGGTTTTATCGCGGCCGAGCTTCGCACAATAAGACACCGGCTGCAGGATGAACAAGCGGAAGAGTTGGGAGGCCATACAGTGCAGGAACTTTGAAAGAGTAAGGTCGGTCTGGCGCATCATGCAGAATGTGAATGGTATAAACATCATGTTCTGAAGCTAGGCTCTGGGTATATAGCGAAACAGCATGGCGATGCAAGAAAAAACGTAGGAATGACGCGCGACTTCATCGAGCGCCCTCAGCTACCCTCCGCCTACTTGACATGTACAAGTTCGGGTGTCTGCTGGTAGTAATCCTGTTGCCCATTACCATAGCCGTACGTGACCTGTTGTTGCGTAACGGGCGCATAAGTTTGTTCGGTCTTCTCGATCGTCTGGTTCCAGGAGACGTGTTTGGCGATGCCCAGTAGCGTTATGAAAGCCAGACATTTGGCTAAGCCTATGATGTAAGACCAGGCCAGCCGTGCGCCAAGGGAAGGTGTTACGGGCCAGTAGATACTGGATGAAAAGACTACCCCCAATGAGGCGTTCACGAATAGGCTAACGTAGAGGGAGGTAACCCAGCCGAAGAGGTCCTAGGGATGTTAGCAAATGTGCCAGTACATAGTAGCTGCCATGGACTTACACCTCCGGGTAAGCGTCTTGATCTCAGTGCCGAAACGTTTGAAAGAGACATAGCCGCCGAAATAATAACAACGATCATCCATACAATGTCGTAGGCAAGATCGAGACCATTCGAAACTAGTACCGCAAAGTCCCAGTTGGATTCCAGGGAGTTGTCCGCCAATGCGACGTAGGAATACATGACAACATCTGCTAGTATGACAGCAAACGCAACGCCAATAGTAATCAGAAGTACGGTCTTGGAACCAGATGACATGTTTCCAAATTGCTTGTGCAGCATGGAGTTCAGAACGTAGACGAAAACGAACAGCAGCGCAGCATTGGCCAAACTGTTCATGATGGCGGAGGCAACGTTGATATTCCAATAATCAATGTAGTTGATATTGTCGCACTCTGACATGACTTGGCTTACGAGACTCAAAATACGTGAGCTGGAGCATGTTAGCACTTCTAAAGCCTGTGAAAGATACTTTGTACTTACATGACTTGGAGGGAAAGGGCTACAACGAAAGGCACACCAATCAACTTCTTTCCGGCACCGCTCTTCTTGCGGATAAAGAACGTCGATATGAGAATGACCGTGTACAGAACCAGGAACAGCACCACAAATGCAAGCGCGGCTTGAGCGTACGGTGTATGAAAGGCGTGCGGGCATGAAGCATTGCTGTAATAGGTGCCACCACCGCCGCTGCGTCTGGGTGCCATGGCAAGAGGGTGTTGGTGCTGATCAAGTCCCTAAGTGGGATTTCCGAAGTCAATGTGGGGTGAGTTAGCGTTTGACTGACGGTAAAACGCGAGACACGCTTCGCGGCGACCTCAAGTATTTCAGGAATAACAACTGCATGCTCCATTGGTGCTCCGCCTTCTCACAGCCTGCAGCCTTCCCGTTTCTCCCGTTTTTGGAATTAAGTCAGGGGCAGTTGAAGCGTCGCTAAGCCTCTCAAAGCGTTTGTCGGGCGCCTTACTGTGCCATATGATCGAAGCGAGAGTGCGCGAGATCCTGTGGACGCCTTGGAGCAGGGGTGTCAAAGCCTCAGCGCGTAGACATATTATCTGGCAGACCTCGAGCGCAGTGCATTTGATAAGAAAAGTATACTGGCTTGGGTTTCTCGTAGGAAGTCATGTCCGCAATATGTTGAAATGAGACGGGGAGGCTGGTTGCGGGTTACATCGGGGTCAACGCTGTTGCCGACCCCCAACCAAAAAAAGACCGGGCTGTGCCTCAGGTCTGCGGGTAGTCCGGCTCTGCAAGCGGCTCGAGAGAGTGTCGCGTCACAAAGTGGAACGATGCAGTGGATGCGATGGCACGGCATGACAGGAACAACCAAGGGTGATCGCCCGGGCAATTCAGCCTTGCGGGTGGCTAGAGCTTCACGTGACGTGGCTAGTGCAGCAACGGATCAGTTTCCGCGATGCAGGGCGCGGCATTACATCATGTTCGTCGCCTCAACCAAAATCCATCTCCCGGCGCGTCTCATTCACGCGCATCTATTCTTTCGTAAGATAGGCGGTCAGCTGCTCTGATTCATCTTATCATAGCTCGGCCGTCGTCTTACATCTGGCCGTGAGCTCGCAACATCCACCTGTTCCGATGATTCCGTTACAAGGGACCCACGCCACAAGTCTCCCTACCAGCCACGGACATCCGGTATATATCCTCAGACTGCCGCGTTCCCATCTCCAAATCGCAAACTATTGAGGACGACACAAACAGGAAGCTAGAAAGTCAATAACCCTATTTACACCGCTGGCGCACGAGGAATCAGCAATGGCACAGGTATTGCAGGGACTCTCGACGCGACCCGCGCTCGGCAGTCACGACACGTGGACGGCCAACGCAGCATCGGAAACACTGGATGTGGACGGCGCAACAACATTGAGCGCCCAGAATGCTGAGCAGAGAGAAGATTCGCGAAGTAGAAGCACGACAGCGATACCATCCGATGACAGTGGTTCAGAGACGCAATTGGTCGAGAAACCCGGAGGCCGTAGGAAGAGCATTCAGGTTGTTTTAGAGCAGTCAGGAAAGAAGGGCGAATTTACCTTCACTGCCAAAGACCCTGTTTTCCAAGAGGTTCTACAGTCAGGCCTGCGGCGAGAGGCCGAGAAACTCAATGGGAAGACCAAGGGGAAACCGCGCGATCTCGTCTTCACACAACAGTTTACCACGTTCGACCGCCAAAACGCGTCCGCTGCGCACTCCCCGTTTCATGGTTTCTTTACACTCTTCTGGATTGCGATGGCTTTGTTACTCGCGCGAATAGCAGCAGGTAACTACAGGACGAAAGGCTCCGTATTTGGAGATGCAGAAATTCTGCACTTGATGATCGACAAAGACTTGTTCGTCATGTTGACGACTGATGTCGCAATGTGTGTGGCGACTAGCTTCGGCTTCTTCCTGCACAAGGCCATCGCCAACGACTATCTGACTTGGAACGGTTCAGGCTGGCTCATACAGTCTCTGTGGCAAACCTTCTTTACCTGCACCATCATATGGGTTACTTTCTGGCGAGACTGGCCTTGGACTCATACCGTATTCATCGTCCTACATGTCTTCGTGTTGCTAATGAAGCAACACGCCTACTCTTTCTACAACGGCTACTGTATGTGATCTGCACTTACTTAGGATACCTCAGCTGACCTTTAGCAGTATCACGAGTGTATCGACGACGCAATTTGCTACGCGAGAAGCTACGACAGCTCGATGATGTCAAAGCACAGGAACGCCCGACGCAAACATCTCCTCCGACTGAGGCACTGACTGCCTCGGGTGTTGATAACTCAGACCAAGGCGAGTTGACGCGTCGAGGAAGCGTTGGCCCGAAATACTCTACCAATTTATCAAATGAAGAATCGGAGATCGCATCTATCGGCAAAGCCATCGAAGCTGGAAACCCGCTCGATTCGGAACAGATCGAAGCCTTTAGACGCGTGCTCAACACTGAGATTACGATCCTTGACGAAGAGCTCCGTGGAAAGTGCACCACCACCGATAACGTATACCCAAACAATTTGACTTTTTACAACTTTGTGGAGTGGGCGTGCCTTCCTACACTCGTCTACGATCTAGAGTACCCCAGGCAGGAACGCATCAACTGGTGGTATGTAGCGGAAAAATCAGCGGCCACTTTGGGAGTCATCTGGATTATGATCATCATCTCGCAAGCATACATCTACCCTGTAGTCGTAGAGACTATGCGACACAAAGAGGCTGGCATGTCGCTTGATGAGCGATGGAAAGAGTTTCCATGGGTTGGTAAGTGCTACATCACTATGAGGCTGTCGAATATACCGCTAATGAGCTCCCTTTATAGTATCCGACATGCTCTTCCCTCTTCTCCTAGAACAACTGCTCAGCTGGTACGTCATATGGGAGTGTCTCCTCAACGTATTGGCGGAAGTCACACGATTTGCCGACCGCGGCTTCTACGGCGCATGGTGGAACTCCGTATCCTTCGATCAATACGCTCGCGACTGGAACCGACCGGTCCACAACTTCCTGCTTCGGCATGTCTACCACTCGTCGATCTCGTTCTTCCATCTATCGAAGATGCAGGCGACTTTCTTCACGTTCTTGCTCAGCGCTATTGTGCATGAGGTCCTCATGTTCTGTTTGTTTAAGAAGGTCAGGGGTTATCTGTTTACATTCCAGTTGACGCAGCTGCCGCTGGCAGCGTTCAGCAAGACGAAGTTTATGAAGGGGAGAGATACGTTGGGGAACATTGTGTTTTGGTTTGGTCTCTTCATTGGACCTAGTGTCATCACCAGCTTGTACCTTATCGTTTAGATGTACTAGTGTTTCGTAGACTCTCACCTCCCTTTGAAACAATAAATTTGTTGCTTAGTCTTTGACGATATCAGTTCTCTGGGGCTTGTGCGCCT